ATCTCCGATGAGGCGCCAAATCTTTCAGATCTGATTCGGCTGAATCAAATCAGGACAGTGATTTGAATGTCTGATTCGAATCACTGTCCTCTGAATTGGCCAAATCCAAATCTGAAGCGAATACTTGCTGCTTCACACAGGCCTACTATTTATTTTTAGTTCTTTGAATGTTGCACTACAGTTGGATCATAGTCATATTACTTTAGCTCAATTATATTGAAAGTAAGGAAAACAAACAGCCTTATTAGCTAAATATTACCTGCTCCTGCTGGAATACCCAGAAGGTGCAGTTAAGGTCAAGATTATAGTGCCTTACAGTAAATAGCCCTAATTTAATTTTTACTGTGGCAGCAGAGGCAGTAGGTAATGGTGTAGCATGATGTTTATTAGGAATTTTCTACTAGGACTAGTAATATTCAACATTATAATCCCTTGATAATAGCATAGTACCACACCACACAATATTCCCACTGGTCCAAACTTGTAGGCCCTTTACACTGAGTTTCAATGTTTATTCAGTAACTAAAGGATTATAATCTCTTTTCTTCAATTACACAGAACAGAGGTTATTAATACTCCCCCCCCAAAAAACACACACACACACTTTAAAGGTGAAACCATTACTACACTATTGTAACCAAAAAGTAACAGGATTGACTTCTAAACTACAGCAACCTTCGTAGCATAGTGACAGTCTGCCTCACAGTGATTTACTATTAATATAATACCAAAATTACTCACATACCATGTCAAAAAATTAGCTTTCCAAAATGGGGTTCATGTCTTAAGTAGAGGTATGGAATTTTTCTGAACAAAACAGAAGCATGGGGATCCTGTAACATGGCTGCTACTTTTTTTTCTTCCATTCCCTCCAGTGGCCACATGGAGGGAAGAGCAGATTCCAACAGAGACTGATCCAGCGGAGGAGTGCAATTGTACAGTCACACTCTTTTGATTCCTGATCTGCTTAGAGTTTAAAACCAACTGCCTGCCAGCAACAGAAGTGGCATTTCTATTCAGGCTGCTGAGGGAGTCAACTAACTTCATGGCTCCTTGTAATCTGTCCCATTAATCTCTCTTCACTCAGCAGGTGTTAACAACCCTCTGGTCCTGTTAATGGCTGTGATAGTCAGCTAATCAAACTGTCCTTTCTTCTGCAATTTTTGGTGTCTGATAGCTACTCTGGGTTTCTCTCTTTCTATTTCACGGCCCTGCAGACTATTTTTAACTCTTTTCAGAATCCTAGATCTGCTGATGAAGCCCAGGCTTCAGCAGGAGCTATAGTTTCTTGACTGAGCACCTAAGAGCTGCAGACAATTCACCTGTGAAAGCATTAAAACTAGCTTTTGCCTGAGCAGAAAAGGGAGGGTGAGTGAGTGGAAGATTAGGCCCTTACCCTGCTCTATGCAACCAGAACTCTGAAACTTCTCTTTTTTTTTTCATTTTGCCTTCCCAATAATAAGATGCATGTCTTATTTTGGGGCCTTGAAGCATACAAGAAATACAGTACACTCTGCCTATGTTTCAACATAAATATGAACAAGAACATTTTAAACATCTTATAAATACACTTTTGGTGTAGTATAACAACCATGAGACAAATAAGCCTTGGCATCCATTTTTGAAGCCATCATTAATTTACTATATAATGAATCAAATCATATTCCTCTTCCATTTTTGTCTTGTTGTATTCTAGCATCATACAACAGGAGCTGTTGGTTGCAATGATTTCTGAAAGATCATTCATGTTGCCCATTCCAGCTCCCATAACATTTTACCTAATTCATAAATCTAGAAGCTACTAATTACTGTATTTTATTGTTTCTGTTTCCTCTAAAATCTAAAAGTTGGAGACTGTCCTTTTAAAAGTCATACCTTAGATTTCAAGAAGTAGTTTTTAAAATCATGAGAACTGCCAGGAACCCCAGAACTCTGCACATATATCCCTTATATGAAAAGCACCAATTATATGCTATGCAGGTTATGTATATTGTTTTAAAACAAGTTTAATCAGCACACTTGTTTCGTTTCAATAAAGCAATGTGTTGACTGAGATCTGAGGAAGGGTGTATAGGTAACCAAATGTCTGTCTAATAAAATATATAACCCACAAAAATCCTTGCCCTCATATTCTTCCTGGATGATCCTGGTTGCTATATCACCACAATACTACTAGTGCGCCACTTGACATTTTTTCCTTTCTTAGGAAATGCACATTCAGAACCTTGGAGTAAGGACCTGGATTAAGAAATAGTCTCAATAAATAGAATTAAGTAATGGACTTGGTGCTCATCTCATATGTGCCATTGTTATGGAGCATCTTCTGTGGGGTACATTATGCTAATGTAAAACAAGGCTCAAACCATAAGCAGCTTATGTGTATTGTTTTGATTCAATTATGTATATTTTCTAAAGTTCTCCCTTTACTGGGGGAACTCCAAGTGAAAAACCATCACTGTGGTATGCTTAATGGACTGAGTTCCCTGATTCCTCTCTCATATGTCAGGTTTAGCCCATTGCCATTCTATTGGAGTTATTCTGCAATCAGGTTCTGAATCGAAAAATGACTTAAGCATGTATTAATGTTCACTGACTTCAGAATTAAGCATTCACTTAAAGCTTTGATATGTGTGAACATAAGTACATAACCAACATTTTAACTAAATGAAAGATTCATCTGCACAAAAATGGAACACAATAAGATTCTCAATAAGTCTTGCAATACTAAACTATTTAGGGACTTTTCAAAGCTCCTCTTAAATCAATGTTGAATATCTTTGTTAATATTAACAAGACTGACAAGTCTTTGAATATAAATATAATCTTGCATTACTATAAAATTACCATCCCAAGTAAAACAGTAGAAATAAAGTATCTCAGTCTTACAGTAATGACAGGTAGCCCCCATGTAGCCTGTATTTGTACAATTGCAGTAGAAGCTGTTCCAAGACTGCGAACATTCACCACCATGTTCACAGTAATTAGGCAAACACCTAAAAGAACAAAAAGGAACATAATCACTTATTATACCACTACCTAATAATTACAGTAGTATATCTATCAAAACATGAGAGCCACCTTTGTGACAAAAGTGATGCTAAAGGCAAAAAGTTGAGAAATAAGAAGAATATGCATTAATCCTGTAGTAATTCTGAAGGAGAGCATCAACAGAAAGCTGGGGAAAGAGTAACTTTATTACCTAGATGCTAGATTTCTCATATATTAAGTAACTTCCATTTAAAGCAGCTGTTCTTCAAGAGTAAATATCAGTAGGAATTATATTTAGAGTTACCTTTAATTATTTGTTTTTCCGTGCTGTATAAATAGGTCCAATCATCACTTATTACAAATATACACTTCCTCTAACACTAATGGTGACTATACGCACTCTCTGTAATTGGCATTCAACACCTGTTCTGCACTCTTATGCAACATTTTGCCTCGTATGTATTTCAGTCATGATTTTGATTCCTTTTACACCTTTTTTTTGACAAATACATTGTTATCTCCAATCCGTAACTCATTTACGTGGTCTTCATTTATATTGACTCCTTGTCCATTTCGATTTATCTTTCTAATAGTCTTCACAAAATGAAAAGCTTGGGTGCAATTGACAATGCTTGAATCAAGTTTAATGTAATTGGAGACAATTTAAAGTATAATTAAAATCTTTTAACACTGAATTTTAGACCTTTCCTCTCTTGTTGGCTTTATAGTAGAAAGCAGTCACTAGGTAAGTCAAAGTATTTCTATACAAATTGCAAGGAAAATTGCAACACTGTCTGAAATGAGATTTACAATCTAGTGCTTTTTTCTGAAGGAACCAACATCTTTGCAAAGAATTTGTACTGATGCTGCTACAAAATAGGGATAATATCTAAATGTACACAGCACAGTGCTTGGCTTAAACTGGAAACAACAGCAGGGGAGTGGATCGGGCATTTGCCATATAGTACTTGACAACACACTTTGAGTGCATGACATCTACAAATGATGTGTAACTTAAGAACTAAAGCACTAGACTGGAGATAACCAAAAGTTAATCTTCAAATTAATGCACTGACTCAGAACAGAAACACACCTTTTCATGGAAGACAGGATACAGGACTTTATAAATCAGTTATCTGCTGATAGCAATTTTTTCTAAACAATCTGATTCCTAAAACTGCAAATTATGGGAAAAGATACCAATATGTAAAGAATATGTACAGAGACCTGAATTATTTTTGTTAACTTCCTCTCAGGTACAATTCTATTTGTAAACTTTCTGAATCCTGGAGATCTCAACTCTATAGATGAAACCTTTCATCGTATGTCCTGTATAGCACACTGATGCCAAGAAAACAAAAGTAATAATTCTCAATGGGCTATCCTATACCTCTGTGTAGAGGCTAATGTAATTATGACAGATGCATCTGGCATTCTCTCTTCAGAGACCAAATGTGCTCACTTTGAAAGGCATTTAAGATGACATTTTGTCCTTTGGAGCTATTTTGGGGATGGCTTGTGTATAATTAGTATTTATTAAATATAGTAATAAATTGATAAAGGATCAGAGAGAAAGAACACTGAGGAGAAATATTTGCAGAGATATGTTTATATGCCCAAGGGTTATATGGACCATGAAGTAACCTAGACAACAATCATATAGTAAAAAGGCTAAAGTGACCAAATTAAGGGTAAAAAGACCAAATTAAGGGTAATAACTAGAAACAGTAATTTTTTAAAAAGTCCCACAAAAGGAGGGAGTGAAAAGATTATGTAAACAAAATATTTTATCTGTCACTTTTTAAATTTTCTTAGAAAACCAACATTGAACAAGAAGCAAAAATTGAGAAAACATGATGAAATGCAGAAAGATTTTGATGACAAATATTTCGGAGGTATTGTGAAGTACTGAATATTAGGGATATGACAAATATACAAATGATCTTCAATAACTGAATTGTTTGGAGTCTATTTTCCTACAGATACAAACACTAATTTCTGTTACTGTTGATAAGTGTTAAATGTAAAAAACTTTTGTTCTTCAAAAGAGATCATTAGAGTTAGTAGTTCAATTTCATCTATATATTACTAAGGTATAAATTGTTATAAGCTCACATCTTGGCCAATTATCTCTCTGTTTGCAGTTGGAAAAGTAGACTGATACTATACCCATTCCTTTGAGAGAAAAGACATACTGAAAGGGATCAGTGGTATAGAACGGTTAAATGTGTTGACAGAATATTTAATGATTGGAAGAAAAAAGAAAAACCTTTGATGATAGACTCAATCTGTTGTCAAAGTCTGACAGAAAGACTTAAGCCATCCACTGCAATGATAGGTTTAGAAAAATCGAATGGAGAACTGGTAAGTAAGCAAAGCGGAGAGAGTAAAGTGTGCACTTAAATATGGATCTAGGGGAAGATCGATAAATATAAAGACATGCTTTGCTTGATACTTTCTGTCCAGACACATGGAAAATACGTGGACAAGGGAATACTTGCAAATAGATACTTTGGCCATATAGTACCACTGGTGTGTTACAAAACAGAGGTTAACAAACCTTAATATAGTCAGAGGCAAAGCAGTATATAGGTATTCAACTGGGGTTTGAAATGACATGCAGAATTAGTTCAAAGACATACAGGAAAGGTGTTCCAGAAGCTGGGCTCCAGCAAGCGTACAATTTATGGGATTGTGTATGTAAAATGAAATACAGTTCCTGGGATAAACTATACACGCCTGTCCGGAGTGAATGCTGAAATATGGAGCCAGTATAAGAATGGATAAAAGAGACTGCTGCTTTGTACATATGAGAAGGTGAGAAGCAATACACTGAACGTGCCAGGTCATTTGAAAGCTAGGGAGGTTATGGAAAAAGAAGTTGTAATAGTCAAAAATAAAAGAGTCCAGGATTAAAGTAGCTGAAGAAGAGTAATTCAATGACTGAGATGAGGACCCATTCTTTTACCACTTTGTGTATCACTAAACATGAAAGACCATGAACCACGGTAATGAGCTATGATGGTTATACAAACTGAATAGAAAGAATTAATACAATATCAGAAAAGCAGTAAAATTCCAAATGACTTGAAAAAGACTGAGACTAAAGAGTTCAAGTGACTTATACAGTTCTGTGTGTGAAAAATATAAGATTGGTGATACCAGACATAAAACAAAAAGGGTAACAATCTCCATATGCTATAAAGATTCAAGGAGATAAGGATCTAGGGAAGAGGCAGATACAAATCTAACACCTCTGGCATAGTATTTAACAGCAGCATAAAAAAGTAATCAAATGGTAGGGTGGATAAATGAGGTACAACATATAACTCTGAAGAAATTTAGCCAGCACTGTATTAGAGACAGGAAGGTGATGTTTGGAATACTGGGAATATTTCTGGTCTTCAGTATAAATAATATATAGCAGTACCTGACAAGGCACACTTAAGAGAATGCAAAGGACCTGAAGATGTAAGCAAGGGCCATCTTAGTTATTTTAAATAGTTAAGAAATACAATTTTGTATTTAACAGGGAAGCCATAATTTAAAAGAACATACTTTGGAAGGGAATGATTATTTTAAAAGTACCTAGTCATAAAATAAATTTAAGCCTCTACTTCAAAGCAAAGGAAGTACTTAGTATCAACTATATCATGGACTTGAGAGGACAACTGGGCTATTTTCCATCCTGATACTATCAGACTACCCCAATTGTTTGGCTTTAAGTACTACAGTGTTTCACTAAAGTTTATATAGCTTACATATTACCTTGTTTGACCTGCACAAAATTTGTCTCCCAATTCTGCCCTTTTATTGCATAAAAAAGGATCAAATGGCTTATTAGATATGCTGATAGTAGTTTGAATCTAGAACTGTAAGAACAGCACTTTCAAAATTAAGGGGACAGGGCATGAAAGATATGGATGTGATGGGGAGAGGAAGTACAGAACAGAAAAATTGGGAGATTATAAGTATAGGATGAGGTAACACTGAATGGAGGGAAAAAAAATAAGGTAAAAAAAGAGAGACGCGTGAGATACTGAGACTAAAAAAACCTGTAGGTACAATTTATACCTTGCGTTGGGTTCCATAATGGAATTTGGAGGTCAGTCATCAAGAATTCAGATGCTAAAATTCACAACCTGTTCCATGGGGATTTTGCTTTGACTTCAGTAGAGACCTCAAAGTCATCCAGTGTCAGGCAAATCCAGGATTTAAAAAACAAGAGGTGTGGAAAGATCAACTGCCACTGCAGGGTTGGCCATACCCAGTCTCAGCCTCCCTCAAACCAGGGCGGGGCAGACCACACCAAGCAGCAGCAGCAGCAGCAGACTTTTTTTAAAGTTTCCAAATCAGGTAAGAGTTTTCCCTACTCTCCTCCCACTCTTGGTACACAGTCTCTTCACCTCCGTGCTCAACACCACCTCCTCTCCCATTCTCCCCTGATCCCTTTTTCTTATGCCTCTGGGCTCTGGAAGGGGAAACCTGCCTCCTACTACCACTGTCCAAGTTGTTCCTTGTCCTGCTTCAGCTGAGGCTGCAAGGAGCAACTGTGCAGGAAAACAGACTCACCTGTGGACAGACAGGTGGCAGCAGGCTGATTCCTCCACCCTCTGCGTACTCCTGAGCTAGCAGGGAACACCTGGAAAGACTAGGTAGGAAGGAAGAACTTGTCAGCTGCTGCTGCTGTTTTTGGCTAAGCCTGGCTCTCACACACACAGGCTGGAGTAGGGCAGCTGCTAAGGTCAGCTCAGGGACAGTAGCAGCAGTGGTTAAGGGAGAGGGGGAATACGGGGGGTGGAAAGAGGAGGAGACCTCTTTCTCCTTAAGTGCCCCTGAGCATGAAGGAGAAGGGAGACCATGCCAGGGGGAGGGATACTTACCTGTTGCAGGGGCTTAGAAAAAAGTCCCTAGATGCTGCTCCTGCAGCATGGTTTGAAAATGGGGCAAACACACCACCACATCCCCTCTGCATCCATCCCTATCCAGTGAAAAATAAAGTACCAAGGGGAAACATACAAGTTAAAACTGTACATATTTTTAAAAGGCATTTCATGAGCATTTGGAGTAAAACTGCGGAGACATGGATTTTCTAGATCTAACTTAATTGAAGAGACAGAGTTTTGTTTTAAACAGATTTTCTGACCATCCTCTTTTTGGTAAAATTTGGAAGAGGATTAATAAAAGGAAATAATAGACTCTTTTGTTATTATGAAAAAGTCAAAACAGCACAGGTAGTAGTTATGATTTTCCAGATAATATCCCATCAGTGATCCAGGATGGATTAAAACAACCCTGTTATTGAGTAGAGAGCAATTCACAGCAATATATAGGACAACTGAGTTCTGAATCTATTCAGAAGAGAGATTGATAGTCTTGATGAATCACATATAGAGTGGGTTTATGAAGGCTGGAATAATGTACATTAAACAATAAACGAATCATTATTTTTTTGAGGCTAAAGAGAATAAATTACTTAAAATCATAAAACATAAATATTTTTGTTGTTTTTTTTTAAAGAAGAAAATTGAAATCTCTACCAACTTTATTACTTACCAAATTTTCATAACATAGGGTGAATTTCCCTAGATGGCAAAATAGAATTGCCCCATTTTTACCACCTTCTGCACGGACCAACTATAATAGGTAATATATTACCTAGGATCATACTTTTAAAAGAATACTCCAAAAGAAAACAGCATTGGACTCAAAACCACAGGAAGGAAGTTATTGTGTGTTTACCATTATTCTAAATATTTTTAACACTTTAAAACAATTCAAAAGCATGTAAAATGTTTTTAACAATATATACTGTGGTTTTATTTTTAAGTGACATAAAACAATAATAATGGTCACCTACAATAAATACACTGTAATTGTACCAGAACTTAGAGTACTTTTGTATGGAGAGTCAAAATCAGGTATTTTTTAAGAACTCTCTGCCTTGACACCAGTTAAAGGTTTGAGAAAAATGCTTTCATAAATAAAAAATCAGATTTGCCCTTACCTGTCTATAATGCCACACAGGTCTATCTGAAGGTCACTGAAATTACCAAGGGAGTTTTGCTGAATGGAAATCAGATCTACTGCTTTGTTACCAATGGAAATGAGTCTCATGCATCCTTGAAAACCAACAAATGGACTTTTGCATTCAGAACCATTACCATTATTAGGACACCCTGAAACAAACAAACAAATAGAAACAATAGGAATAGATTACAGAGACGGATGACATATTTCAAAGGGTTTTACATCTTCATGAGATAAAATTATGGGAGTGCCTTTGAATAGAAATTAGGTGCCTTTGGGCCTTGTGATATATTAAAGATGTTCAAGTGACTCTTCAGGTGTTCTAAGGTAACTTTATAATAATAATTTCACAAAACATTGTGGTAAAATTTAAACCTCAATTTTGAAATTCAAATAAGGTTCATATTTTTGGAATTAAGATATTCATGAACACAAGCATATTATGTTATTGGGTTATTATTGTTTTAGAATAACTCATTCACAATCTAGAATAAGCTAATTTTTTACTCAATTATTATAATTTTAAACAGAGCCTATTATCTTTGAACATACAAATATACGGCCAATAAAATGCATACATTCAATCCATTGAAACTAAACTGCTCAGCAAACCAGTTGCCAATAGAAAAGAAAAGTAGTTATTGGATCATAGGTTATGAACACTATATGTAAAAACAGTTTTATTATTATTATTTTTCATAGAATCATAGAAAATTAGGGTTGGAAGGGACTTCAGGAGGTAATCTTGTCCAACTTCCTGCTCAAAGAAGGACCACCCCCAACTAGATCATTACAACCAGAACTTCATCAAGCCGAGACTTAAACTTCCAAGAATGGAGATTCTACCAACTCTCTGGGTAACCCATTCCAGTGCTTCACCACCCTCCTGGTGAGAGATTTTTTCCTAATATCCAACCTAAACTTACCTTGTTTTTTCAGGCGGTTTTATGGTATTCATTTACTTAGCTTGAAATACAATTGTTAATTGGTTACTGAATAGCTATGTGACAAAATATGCTTCACTTTTTGTTTTCTGGCTTCATTTCAGGGGGCAATGTTGCTTACAGGAATGATTCACAAGGACACTGCTTTGATCTTAACTGAAAAGTATTGTCTCCTGGGTCACATAAGTCAAAGAGTTTCTTGTCTCATAGTGTTAGCATTCAATGACTGAAAGACCATTCTCTGTTCCATAGAGTTAATAGGTAGCTCATGGTGAGTTTTACTATACAGGAAAATGAAATGACAATGGAAATGAAGAAATACATTGCAGAGAGTGGAAACCAACATTAAAGACTCAACAGATTTTTAGAACTTAAAATGTAAAGCATGAAAAAAAAATTAAAAATAAAAACAGAGCAAGGTCCCCTTGTCAGGTAAATGACTTACCTCTCAACTCTCATTGCTTTCAGAGGCAGATGAAAATATTTAATAATCAGTATCGGGTGCAAAGAATTACAAGTTAATGGCTTTTCAGGGTTCTAAGTGAGAGGAGAATTTGAAGCCAATACCTTACAAATCTGTTCCAGTATTTGTTGGTATACTATGTTGGTACATAATGCTAGGATAATGATAATAAGGCAAGTGTCTAACTGAATTTCTCCAGTTAATTTTGCATTTTTGAAATAGACATAAATAATTAGTACAGTTCCATTCTTTGGCATTTTTATCCTAAGCTGAAATAATACCATTTTCTGCAACACCAACTGAATCCAGTTCCATATTCTTTCATATTCTCTGTTTTTTGAAACATTTTGTCTTCTAATCATGCTATGGTAAAGAATAAATCATTTGCATTAATATTAATGCCAGCAGTGTTAAGGCTTGTGGCCAGTGTACTAAGTTGTCCTATATCAAAGTGAAGAAAAGAATTCCATAAATTATGGAATTCACCCTATGTGCTTATGTATTTTTCATTAATCTCTCCTTGCCCTTACAGTTGCCAATCACTATTATCATTTCAAAGTACAAGAACTGAAAGATTCGGCATCTCCTTGACTTCTGCATGATCAGGACTCGTGTTTGACATCATAAAGCTAAAGAATTTCCATACTAATTAAATATATTCTCAGCTAAGACTCTATAGTCCTAAAATATTTTATATTCCTAAGAAATTACATCTTTTCCACTGGAAGACATATTTTCATATTTTAACAATAGGAATGCAAAAACATTGTGCATATTTCAGCAACCTAAAAGTGAGAGAAGGAGAGAAGAAATTGAAGTAGTGGAATATGACAAAAAGAAAGGGTTTTTCAAACTCCAAAGCTTTTCAAAGGCCATTTTGCATGTTAGTATGACATTGTACAAGCTGCTGGTTTGATCATAAAGCTGCATTCAGAGAAGCTGAGGGGTGGACAGGCAATTAGAGCTTTCAGTGTTCTTGGCAATAATTTGTTCCCCAAAAGATAGATAGAAATGTCCTGCTGTACAGCTTAATTGGTTATACCATTTTTTTTTTGCAACCATCCACATCCCTTCTGAACTGTGCACCTGTGCCATCAGCCCTACAATACTCACTGGTGCAAATCACATAATCAGGAACCAAAAGCAATGCAAAAAGATGAAAATGAAAGAATATATTTTTTCATGCATTCAAACAAATATTCAGATATTTTTATCACTCCCCTCATTCTTTGTCTTCTATCTAGGTTTTTATCATCTGCATTGTATCCAAGAAAACATTCATATTAATCTTATTAGCTTTCTGCCTTTCCAGTGAAATTTGAAAATTATAAATAATATGTGTAAATCTATGCAAATGAGATTAAACACAGGGACATAATATAATTTATATGGAACCAAAAGTAAACTTTGGTATATTTGCTAACATAGTATTATCAGGAATTCACAAATGTTAGTAGATCCAATTAATTTTTGTTGTAGAATAAGTCAATTTATTTTTAAGTACTGAACAATAATCACCATTTCCCATGTTTTCCCAATGCCTACCATGTTTTAGACCAAGGATAAGTAATGAATAAAAATGATAACATCTTAAATTTTCTCCCCAAAAAATCTTGAAGTACTTTGCTTATCTTGACTAATTCAGAGCATACCTAGGGGGTATGTACAAAACCATCAGCAGCCACAAGCTATGACTTTAATGTAGAAATCACTTGATGAGATTTCTGGTCTATGTATGTAGTAGCTTATAATAAGAAAAACTTTCCAAAGGTGCTTAAGGGTATTTATCATAAAAGTTATTTAGTACCTAAATTCACTATTTAAGCTACACTACCATCCTTGAATGCATTCTAGGTACTGTAGTTCCTTCAGTGGACCTGTACAAGATGCTTACGTACTGATGCCATCACATAGCTAAGGACTTTTGCAGAATCCTAGCTCAAGCCTACGTCCTGGAGGCCCTGTAATGACTACTAACAAGCAATGTTACTGGCTATCTTATCAGCAGGGCCCATTCATTTGTGTGTGCTACAAAACACAATATAGGTCTGCATGCTGCTGCATGTGTCTGTGTGTTCTAGTGCTTAGGGTACTCATCTGGGATGAAGATTTAAGGCCTAACTCCAGAACCAATAAAATTCAGGGTGTGCCTACACAGCGTACACCTCTGTCATGGAGAGATAATCAAGCTAGTATTAAACAAAAAGCAAGCTATATTAGCTTGTGCAGCCCTGCCTAGGCTGCTCCTGGAATCAAAGCTAGCTTGTGTAAACCTGGCAATGGTGCTACCCACAGCCACATCCAAATTTTCAGGATCCTGGAGTGCCAATAGGTCATGGTCAACTCCTGTCTATAGGCTGGAAGCCATCACTCAGTGGAGTTCCCTCCCATGGTTATCTCCCACACCAGATTAAACATTAAATGATTATTGACAATAATTTATTATTTACAATAGTAACTGAGAAACTAACAGATTCAATATATCACACACATAACAAACACAATATTTTCTAAGTGCTTGATAATAATCTATACCAGCAAACAGAAGCAAATACTTATCATATAGCAAAAGCAATTTTGTTTTGAAATTTAGCACTTAGGCAACTTATAACAAGTATATACACTGGGATAGCCCACCTACCAGAGGTAGGGACAATCTTGGGGATAGCTCTGTCAGGCCTTCAGTCAGCACAGTTGTAGTTAGGGATCTTCTGGAAGGGCTAGACTGTTTTAAATCTGCAGGTCCAGATGCCCTCTACCCAAGGGTGTTGAGGGACCTGGCAGGAGTCATCGCGGAGCCCTTGGCCCGGCTGTATGAGAATTCCTGGTCATCTGGCCAGGTGCCGGGGGGTTGGAAACTGGCTAATGTGGTTCCAATTTTCAAGAAGGGGAGGAAGGAGGACCCAAGTAACTATAGGCCAGTCAGCCTCACCTTGGTGCTCGGGAAGATTTTGGAGAGAATCATCAAGGAGCACATCTGTGGGGGGGCAGCAGGGGAGATCATGCTCAGGGGCAATCAGCATGGGTTCATCAAAGGTAGGTCCTGCCTGACCAACCC